CGGTCTTGTCCCGGCTGGTCCTCCGGCTTGCCCCGCTGTCCTCCGGCCTCTGTTCCCGCCGACCCCTGGTCCCGGTCCCGACCCTCAGTCCTGCCGCCTCTGCCGTCCTCTCTCCCGTCTTCTCGGCGTCTCTCGTCTCCACGCTGCTGCGCGCGCGCGTGTGCTTGCTCTAACTGCAGAAATCCTCCACAGCGCCCTCTAGTTCCGTCCGTGATAGCAGACCTCGTTGAATGGCTAGTTATCTTTCAGAATGTTTATCAAATGGGTATCAAATACCCTTTTTTTTTTTACAGACCTTTCCCTCACAATCACCATCAGGGGGCGCTATTGTTCTATGTAAAAATTGGGAGCATTTCATTTAATTTCACTAATTTTTAAAGATAAGGCAGTGATATAACCTTTAACCTCAGACCTTGGACAAAACCATGAATATAAACGTTTGACAATTCTTAATTACAAACTGCTCTTCAATTTACGACTTGGGAACTACAGTCTAACAACCAATTAGCAATCCTCCTTAAATTCCTTGAAAGTGAGGTACTTAGTTTAGAGTTAGACCCAGAAGTTTTCATACATATAAGAAAGGAATATACATTGGCATGTACCACCTAATTCTTTGCACTTAAAATATAAAAACCCCATTATTAGTAATACACACTAATATATTTCAATGGGTACCCTCAAACAATATATAATGAATATAGTTTGGATATATATAAGTACATGTATAAAACTTTACTTAAAATCAATCAAGTAAGTAGGCAGATAGATGCTACATATAATATAATAATATAATAACATTATTGCTAATATTTATTACTGCAATGAATAGTAAGGTTTCATAAGGAATTTTTAAATAAGCCCCTTTCTTCAATTCATTGAACAAAGGGAAACTCCAATTTCTTGTAGGGAGGCAAGAAAGTAATCAATCAAGACCGACACAGGCTGGTACTATCCTAAACCGATATGCTTCTGAGACCCCCACCATTTACAATCTGAAGAATGTTTATATTAACATTCCTCATCTCTCTGCGAAGGTCTCTGTACAAGAAAAGAATTAACTTATTTTCACCTTATAGCACATAGACAAAATGGCTACTAGTATGCCCATAGACACCTCTGTAAAATGACATGTTTAGGCCTATGAAATCGATTCCTTTCGGCCCAATAGTTCTGACATCCTACAGAGGCCCCCTGCACGCATTGTATGCTCTACTTTTTTTATACTAACCTATGGCAGATGTCTTCAGGTTAATCACCGCACATGAAGGGTCCTCTTCCTCTTCCTCTTTGAATCATCACAGTATGAGTCCAGGGTGCCTTGGCGGGCTGTCCATGGCACCCTTCACTCACAAGATGTCCTCAGTCTTCTAGAATAAATGATGATGCCTATCATTTTTAAACCTAAAAGACTGAGGACATCTAGTAGAAGTAGGAAATTGCTGCAGAGAAAAGCACTGGGGAGACGTAAGTATTGCAGTCAGAGCTGATTTTTTTAAATTTTTAAATCATTTGGGACTTGTCCGGATTTGGTTTTAAAATGAACATGCTATAACAGGAATGCTTTGCTGCTATTGCTGACCTGTGTCCAAAAATGCTAGGAAACAGCTTCAGTACTTGGGTCGCTAACCCAGCACAAGTACGCAGATTAGGTAAATACGTGTAAAGCCAGAGCACCCTCTCTACATACTTATTCTGTGTCTTTTGCTCAAATTACTTGAGTAGGAAAGCCAATACGACAGTCAGACAACTAGCATTTTCAGAAGGAAAGGATGGCATTGGTGGCCTTCATATTTCTTTCATGATAATTTTGCTTTAAATGAAATCAGGATAGAAATATGATTATAGAAATATTATAGAAAAGTTTATACTTGCTAGCATTAATTAAAGGGTATAGGTGTATACTTTTTCCAAATGTGTTATATACTTTGAATGAAGACCAAAACCACAGTGTTACTTTTTATTTAGATTTATGATGAGCTGATTTAACAATTAAGTGATGAGTGGCTTACTAAAGCAGCGGTGTTTTATTACGTTATTAAAAATCAGCAACCTATTCCTGTGGCCAAAATTCCTATGAATATTTCTTTTAAAATGAGAGGTGTAACCACTGGAGTTACTTTCTTTATGAGAATGCTGTGGAATATTCTATTTTTTAGGAGGAGAAAGGCCTCCATGGGTTTACAGCAGGGTCGTGCAGGCAGGTGAGGCAGGTGAGGCAGAGCCTCGCCTAGTATTATGGAGGAAAAAGCTGACAGCTTTTTCCTCCATAATGTCTAGCAATTAGCAATCCAACTTTCATCTTCAATGTTTGCTAACAATTTGCTTTCTGCAATTTGTATTACTTTACTTCTATCTCTTTGGTGCATTTTTAGTCCTCTAGAACTAAGAATTGTGGATGTATACCAATTGTAACCTAATACATCTCATATCTAAATCTTTCCAATTCAATCATTTTAATTTTGTCTTTTACTAGTCTAGTACTTAACTTCAGCAAAAGGTTTTTCTTTATTTTGATTAGCATAAAGGTGGGAAATAAGCAGTTGCCAGGAGAGGATGCAAAGGGAAAGCTCTGCAATGAGAACTCTGTCAGCAATATGTCTGTGAAGGTTCTCATTCATCCAGGTCATGGTATAAAAAAAAAATCAAGGCAACTGGACTTGAATGAATTCTAAATTGAGAAAGCTAGTCGAATGACCAGCGAAACATCTTCAAGAAAAATACATCAAGTCCAGTTGCCTTGATTTTTTTTTTTTACAGATATACAGAATACTAATTTGGAGGTTAGCACATTGTAGTCACTGTTGCCCAATGGTTCCCAAACAGACACATTTGATATGATCTCTGGACAACTAGTCAGTCAGATCTTTTATATCTTCCACCCAGTTGGCTCAGTCACCGATTGTGTAAAAATTGTCTTGTAATATGAGTACCAATCTCTGTCATTTTCTAGAACCACTACGTTCAATGCCTGACTAGATGAAATTATCCATAAGAAGTATGTTGTTCCTGTTTGCTGCCTCTGCAATCTGTTGTAGCATTTGTACTTCAGTACAGTAGCTAATGGGATGCAGATGATAATTCCCAACAAATACAGTATATTAGTTATTATTTTTACTGTGAATGCTTACCGAAGACTCACACTGACAAGTGTGCACAGATTTCCTCCTATAGAGAAAACCTACAATTCCCCTCCCAATTAGTGTCACGTGTATCTTTACTAACTTACATTATAGTCTTTCAAATTAATTATCCAATTATGACACTCTATGAGCAAGATTGCTGTTATACTCACCTTATCATAGACTTTTTACACTTGTTATCATACATTTCATATGGTGTTATATATATATATATATATGTGTGTGTGTGTGTGTGTGTTTGTATGTATATACATACATACATACATACATAATATAATATACATATCTCTTACGTTTATGACCAATATAAGTTAGTATAGTGTAAAAGAGAAGCAATTTACACAGCTTGCTTATTATTTGACCCTACTCTGCTTTCAGTTGCAGAGCTTGTCAGTAGGGCCTGTTTACATGATTTTCCAGTCCTGATCAGGTCCAGATCTGCAGACGCGATGTGTTTTTGCCGAGTTTTTGATGTGTTCCAGTTTAAAAAAAAATTATATATTTTTTTTTTTGCTGGAGTGGGGCTGTCAGTATGTTAGCTGCAGTGCAGTGCGTTTTAGACGCGTTTTTGAAGCATTTTGCGTTTCCTGACCGTACAAAATGTGACATGCAGTATTTTTTCTGTCGTAACCTGAACGGACTGTGCACATGAGAACTGTAGCCCATTAAACACATAGGGATACATTGGGATGCATTTTTAGTGCAGGAGCGTACGGATCAGGACAGCACAGAAAACTGACATTGTGTGAACAAGCATTGTTCACACCAAATGCAGAGCAGATCTGCTCAGGTTTCTGCACACGCAGTGCAGTGGGTTGTGCTGCGTTTTGTTTTGTTTTTAGTTTATAATGGGCTTTCGGTGTGTTCCAGGGTGTTTGCGATGTGTTTACATGCGTTCCAGAGCAGATCCAGAGCAGGTAAAATAGGGCCTGCTGCAGTTTTTTTTTACCTGCTCTGGACCTGCACGCTGCGATGTGAACTGGAGCAAAAAATACCATTGGAATACATTGGACGCAGATTTGATCCGGGCTGCAACTGCTCTGCACCTGCTCCGCGCTTGGTGTCAACAAGGCCTCAGGGTTGCATACTCATTTGTCTAGCATGAGACAAGGATAAAGCAGTATCAACAAGTTATGTTGGAAGACAGTTTCACACATAAACCAGCACTATTGTCAGCTGGTAATAAAATAACAGGATATTTGACACAAAGAAGCAGAAGAGGGTTATTAGGTATATTGTATTTGATGATTTATTAGTTTTCAATTATGATTCCAAGTATGGTTTTATCCATAAGAAGTAGAGCACACTTTAAACAATTATTGTATAACCTCTTCCCGTGAATGCCTATAGCTAGTACTTCTAATCATACAATTAATTTTCTCTACAAAGCAATATAACAGAAAATACATTTGTACATTATTTTGCAGCAATACCCTGATCAGTTGCAGAAGTTAGTTCTTCAGTACCACACTTTTAATTGTCTACACCTTGCTTTTTTTGGTCTACACCTTTCAATTATGCAGCTACCATTCATTAAAAATGGTCACCAGCAATGGCAGTATAAAAAATGTTATGATTTCCTGAAAGATTTTTGGTCGGGTTGACTCTCTGGAGTATTCAAAGATGTCCTTTCCCTGGGTAGTAGACAGCAGTATATCAATCAAAAATGTGTAGCACTCATCTTGAATAACGTATAAAGGCGACTTTGGTGTAAAGCCCTAACCCTTTTATTTCACTGCATGGACAACAGGCTGTGTTTTTTTTACATTTGATGTCAGCAAAAATAGGTTCTGAAATTTGGAGGTGATTAGCCATTTTGTCTGATCTTCAGAAAGTCCTCCATAATTAATGGCAAAGTTTCTCTTTCTGTATCCTGAACTTCTTATTTAAACTAATTTTTAGGCTTCTATGTTCCTGAGGAAACAAAGTGCATCTCAGTGTTGGCATTAGGAGCAGCTACCCCAACACTGCCCACTCGCTGCTTAAAGAGGAAAGGAAAAACTTTATTAAAGGCTTTGCGAAAGTTGGCACCCATGAATGCGTAGACGATGGGGTTGATTGAGGAATTGGTGTAGGACATGCAGTGGGCCCATATCTTCACCTTATAAGTGTAATAATCACGTTTGAAAGTGGGACTAAATGCCTGAAGAAGAATGTAGAGCTGAATAGGACCCCAACAGAAAGTGAAGAGAAGTACAATAACAGCCACCATGCGTGAAACCTTGGTCCGCATTTGCTCAGAGCGCTCAGCCAGTAACTGCACCTTGAAGAAAAAGACAAGCAAAATATTCTTGAATACACCTTCAGAGAAAAGGTATGCAGATAATATACAGAGTTGATCATTTGAGCTCTTAGACTAAATTTACACAACACCCTTATCAGTTTTAATTATAATTTTTCAATACATTATTATTACATAGTATTATTACATAGTATTTATATAGAGCCAACAGTTCGCGCAGAGCTTTACAATATATGGAAGACATTACAATCACAATACAATTCAAGACAAGATAGTAAGGAGGGCCCTGCCCCTGAGGGGCTTACAATCTAAAAGTGGAAGGGGAAGTGATGCATGAGGAGGTAGCTGTGTGGGGATGAATTGTTTGAGAACATGACGGTTCAGTGGTTAGGTTGAGGTGGGATAGGCTTCCCTGAAGAGATGAGTCTTTAGGGAATGCCTAAAGGCAGTCAAGGTGTATAAAAATGTGATAATAAAACAGTATTCTGTGATTAAACGCTCATTCCCACGTCTGTAGGGATTACATATACATTAAGATTCTAAAGTTTGATCTCATCATTCGATTGGTTGATTATAATTACACAGCTATACAAAAAATAGCTCACATAAAACCATTTATCATCGCCCCAAAACGAAAAAACGAAAAAAACGAAAAAAGCAAAAAGAAAAGCAATGTCTCCATATAAGACGTGGATTAGGGTTACGCAAAAAATTATTTCAATCGTCAAGGCATTTAACTCTTTCCCTCAGAGGAGAAAAATGAATGAAAACCAAAAGAAAAGGAACCCAAAAAAATAACAAAGAAAAAAGTGTCTATTACTTTGTCTTCAATCCATAAGTCCTCAAAAATTCTTTATATTTCTCTCTCTCCTCCAAACGGTCAGCACACGGTTCTGATGCCGGTGTCAAACGCCCTCCAGGAGCAGCCCAGCCGAGCGAGGAAGACAGGAAAAAGGACACAAGAGAGAAAGCAGATCTAAGTGTAGTCACGAAAGTCCTTTATTCCAAATATAAATGATTACACTTACGAGATGGTTTGAGTAAAAATCGCATGTGGGTGTAAACGGCGCCCAGCCTTTGAAGATTTATCCGGTATGTCAGGAAGGAAGCAGCGGGGCCCCTTGAAGCGTTTTGTCAGTCTTTGACTTTTTTTTTAAAATCGTCAAGGCATGTAAACGGCGCCCAGCCTTTGAAGATTTATCCGGTATGTCAGGAAGGAAGCAGCGGGTCCCCTTGACGCGTTTCGTCGGTCTTTGACTTTTTTTTCATAATTATTCGTAAGGTGTTCAGGAACAGTTCTTTGCCAAACTGCTAACATTTGTGACTACCTACATAAAACAGGATCCGCTCACGTTGGATTTCAGTGATTTCTTTCTGGCTAAAATCACCTAATGGAACTTAAAGTAGGGGTGTGACTGGTACATTTACTTCTTACTGGTAAAGAGTAAGGATGTCCTGATACCTATACTAGTATCAATATCGGGGCCGAAACAGGGTATTTTCACGAGTACTTGTACTTTTGAAAATGCCCCAATACTAAAGGCTGATACCATCCCTTTTAAATTTCTTGCACTTGCTGGGACCTCAGGCAGTCTGCTGGGGACCTCCCAGCAGCTGTCTTTGACAGTGCCAGTCCGCTGCACTCCACCTCCTGCTCTTTCCTGAGGCCAGCACAGCAAAGGACAGCCCAACTCCTGCACATACAGCCCTGGAGCCTGGCACCTGTCCACAGAGCCCTGATGTGACTGGCACCGACCTGTACAGTCCTGGGGAGACCCACATGAAGCCCTGGTGAGATCTGCACACAGCCCTGGTGAGAACCAAATGCACCGTAACGAAAAAAGCAAAAAGAAAAGCAATGTCTCCATATAAGACGTGGATTAGGGTTACGCAAAAAATTATTTCAATCGTCAAGGCATTTAACTCTTTCCCTCAGAGGAGAAAAATGAATGAAAACCAAAAGAAAAGGAACCCAAAAAAATAACAAAGAAAAAAGTGTCTATTACTTTGTCTTCAATCCATAAGTCCTCAAAAATTCTTTATATTTCTCTCTCTCCTCCAAACGGTCAGCACACGGTTCTGATGCCGGTGTCAAACGCCCTCCAGGAGCAGCCCAGCCGAGCGAGGAAGACAGGAAAAAGGACACAAGAGAGAAAGCAGATCTAAGCGTAGTCACGAAAGTCCTTTATTCCAAATATAAATGATTACACTTACGAGATGGTTTGAGTAAAAATCGCATGTGGGTGTAAACGGCGCCCAGCCTTTGAAGATTTATCCGGTATGTCAGGAAGGAAGCAGCGGGTCCCCTTGACGCGTTTTGTCAGTCTTTGACTTTTTTTTTAAAATCGTCAAGGCATGTAAACGGCGCCCAGCCTTTGAAGATTTATCCGGTATGTCAGGAAGGAAGCAGCGGGTCCCCTTGACGCGTTTCGTCAGTCTTTGACTTTTTTTTCATAATTATTCGTAAGGTGTTCAGGAACAGTTCTTTGCCAAACTGCTAACATTTGTGACTACCTACATAAAACAGGATCCGCTCACGTTGGATTTCAGTGATTTCTTTCTGGCTAAAATCACCTAATGGAACTTAAAGTAGGGGTGTGACTGGTACATTTACTTCTTACTGGTAAAGAGTAAGGATGTCCTGATACCTATACTAGTATCAATATCGGGGCCGAAACAGGGTATTTTCACGAGTACTTGTACTTTTGAAAATGCCCCAATACTAAAGGCTGATACCATCCCTTTTAAATTTCTTGCACTTGCTGGGACCTCAGGCAGTCTGCTGGGGACCTCCCAGCAGCTGTCTTTGACAGTGCCAGTCCGCTGCACTCCACCTCCTGCTCTTTCCTGAGGCCAGCACAGCAAAGGACAGCCCAACTCCTGCACATACAGCCCTGGAGCCTGGCACCTGTCCACAGAGCCCTGATGTGACTGGCACCGACCTGTACAGTCCTGGGGAGACCCACATGAAGCCCTGGTGAGATCTGCACACAGCCCTGGTGAGAACCAAATGCACCGCTGGTGAAACCCAAACGCAACCCTGATGAGACCTGCATGCAGCCCTGGTGAGACCTGCACGCAGTCCTGGTGAGATCCAAACGCAGCCACCGTGGAATTTGCACGCAGCCCTGGAAACACCCTGCAAGCAGCCCTGGTGAGATCCAAATGCAGCCCTGGTAAGACTGCGCACAACCCTGTATAATCGCTTTCTACTTCTGGAGACATGGGATCTGTAGTCATCTATTGCCGGTTTCTATTCTCCATTGCTGAATAATCATGGATTGCTGAGATTTGTAGTCCTCTATAGCTGGTTGCCATTCTTCATTGCTGTATAATCATGGATTAAGTTACAGTTCTTCATAATTCTAAAGAAACTGCCCTAATAATCATTGGTCTGTATTGTCTTAGAAAAAAATGTCACATGTCACTTTTAAGAAAAAATATCGGAAATTGGTATCGGCAAGTACCCGAGGGAAAGTACTTATACTTGGTCTCGAAAATTTGGCATCGGGACATTCCTGGTAAAGAGGATATGTATTTTTTTTTGATATTTTTAGAAATGCATGTAAAAGAGATGAGCTTGTTGTAAAACATTTTTGTATGTAAACGTTTATGTAATGCCAAACCATTTCTTGGGCAGATTAGGAAAAGAATAGAACCCCTATAAATTCTTTATTGCGGTCTGTGTCTTCTCTAGGTAGATTCACCTTCTCTATATGTGCTGATAACCACTGCCACAGAGACAGAATATCCCAGACAGAATAAGAGGACAGAGCAAAGATTTCCTATCACTTCCTGTTGTCTTCAGGACACAGTAAAAAATACATTGACAGATTTTAACCCTTCCCACATTGACTATACACATTTTAACATTTTTTATTTAAAAAAGCAACTTATTTTTTTGTGTACTTTATTATTATAATGCATATGTATACTTCCAGAAGTCATATTTGATAATTTCATATGCAGGCTCTGTTTTCTGCTTTCAAGTGCTGTATGATTGTTATGCATTACTGCTTACATGACATGCACTGTGAAATCAGGCAGCCATATTTAAGTATATCAAAAATTTTTTTCCTAATGTCCAAATATGCTATCAAATAAAAGCCTATATGGTGATACATTTCTCTAGTTCACAAAGCTAAACTAGGCAGGGCAAATAACACTGCAGCGTGCACAGGACAACACTGAATTTCTGGCAGGACCAGCAGGTATTTTTATGACACTTATCAAACAGTTATAACAAAACTCTTTCAACAGTATACTAAACAGACAAGATGGCAACAAATAAAATAAATTCATTGTTTGGGTTTACAAACACTTTCACGTCACCGTAGACAATACCCTTACTATAATGGCTAGGGCATGTGCATGCCCAGTAGTTTATTACCTGGTAACTGTTGTCAACAGGCTCTACAGAAGGCCTTCCCATCTGATAGACCATGGCAGAGTAACAGATGCATATAGTGAGCAATGGGAGCATATATACCGCAAGAAAGTTGTAAAGGATAAACGCTTTCTCGTGATAAACTGATGGAAACAATTCAATGCAGTACATTTGCGGTCCAAACCAATAGCCTTCTATGAGCTGGTTATAAATAGGGACTGGGATAGATACAATAAAAGAGCCTGTAAGAGAAAAAAAACACATGAAAATTGTGCAATATGGACATTTATTCATTAATTTTGTAATGCACCACTTTATTATAGAAAGACAAACACTACATCTGTCCCAATAGTATTTGTTTCTGTATCCACTCCCGACTAGAGCTAAAACCAAAAATGTGTTGCCTCCTTACAAGTTGATGCTGAATTAGCAGGTCTGAGTACGCCAACATGAAGTTCTACTCACAAAAATTAGTGTATAGCCAATGTTGCTTGTGCCTCAGGTCAGGCACAAGCAAATGCCTCAGGCCAGATGGTTTTACTAGAGACTTAAAAGACTAAAGACTCAATTCACTAGGGAGGAGGAGTTAGGCCTCTTTCAGAAGGGCAGACCGTACAGGTCCACCTGTCAGTTTTTCAGGTGAATCTGATTATAAGATCAATCTTATTCTAAGGCTGGGCACACACCTTACAACCATCCCATACACAGTACCCATACACTGCTCGATTCTCGTACGAGAATCGCGGGAAATCCCGCGATCGTACGAGAATCGAGGCAGGCCCCTCAGCGGGGCAGGCTTTCGATGATCGCAAGTATGATCTGCCTGTCCAAGATGGGCAGATCGTACGAGCTTTTAATAAGCTTACGATCATCGCAAGACAAAAGTCTTGCGATGGTCGTAAGATGTATGGGCACCTTAAGACTTTTGTCTTGCGATGGTTGTAAGGTACTTAAAAAAACGTACGATCTGCCTATCTTGCATAGGCAGATCGTACTTGCGATGATCGCAAGCCACGCCCCCTGAGGGGCGGGCTTCCGATGACCGCAATGCCGAACGGGACGAGCGCACCTGCGCC